GGGGGGGGGGGCGGAGGGGGCTCAGGAGGCAGGCTGGAGGCGGCAGAACCTTTCAGAAGCCCACGGGGTGGTCAAAGCAGCTGGCCTGTGGGCTGTGACCCCCCCAGCGGTCCCCCCTCCAGGAGCCGGCTGCCCAGCTCCCGCCGTACTCCAAACTTCTCCAGCAGACAAAATGGACTACAGGGTGCGGGGAGCAGCCGCCTGCCCCGCCGCCCTCCCCACCGCCCCGGGAGGAGCCCAACCCCCTCGCCTCTTCCCCTAACATTGTCCTTGGTTTTTTGGGGGGGGACACCAAAGCCACCCTCCTGTGTGGCCCCGGCGAGCTTCCCAGCGTGCCGGGATTGTTTGTTCCTCCCGGGAGGAAGCATGGCACAAAGCGAGCAAGGGGAAGACATGCATGCTGGGATGCATCCCCCACCCCCAGCCTTAACACCGCCCTGAGAGGTGGTGGGACCCCTGGGGACCCACCCCCCACTTACCTACACAGGGGCACAGCACCCTGTCCCGAGCATCATGCCCGGCCGCCCCTTGCCGTGCCCGGGGAGCCGAGGAAGAAGAGGCCGGGTGCGGAGCAAAGCCGTGCTCGCAGGGGCACGTCCCCGGATTGTTCTCTTCCTGCTCTGACTTCATGGTTGTCTCCGGGGTGGGGGGGCTAGGGGGGATTCCCCAAGTTTTGGGAGTCCCCTGGGGCTGGCAAGCTCCTTGCCCGGCACAGCACGGAAGTACGGCGGGTGCTACCTGCGCCGGGAATTTGACCCTTGGCAGGTCACCGCAAGTTTCTTTCCCCAGCCTGATGTCACGCCGGCAGAGGAGTGGCTTTGCCCGCCGCTGAGCCAAGGTGCGCGGGACCCAGGGGAGAGCTTGCCCCCCGAGCCCGGGGCTGAGCAGGAACCCAGCGAGCCCCAGCTGCCGGCAGAAATGGTTGCCAGCTCGCCGGCCATCGTTCCCCCGCCACCACCCACCGAGCGGCAGCTGCCGGAACGCCCGCCACATCCCCGCTGCACCGGCCCCGCCACCCGTCCCTTTGGAGCATCGCCGCTGGGGAAACTGAGGCACAAGGTAGGTGGGGGCACGGTGGGGAAACTGAGGCATGAGGAAGGTGACAGACCGCAAAGCAGCCCTATCTCCGGTACACAGCTTGTGCTAGCAGCTCCTAAAATATTTTTTTTTAATTTTTTTTTGGCAATGCAATATTGTTTATTTTGTCCCGGCACCTGCGGCTGCGGGGGGCACCATCGCAGACTGGCCTCCCCCCGCCCCTGCAAAACACCACAACTGGCCCTGTGGGGAGGAAGGGCAGAGAGAAAGTAGGGGCTGCTTGATTTTCTATAATAAAAGCTGCATAAAAGTACACCAGAAAAAAAAAAAAAACCTCCCTGAAACCCAGCCTTTTTGGGTTGCTTGGGTGTTCTTTATTTGCACTCCCTATGGTACACGCTGCACTGTCACCTCCCTTCATCCAGAGTCTGCTTTCCAAGCAGACACACTCTTTAAATTTTTCACCCCACTGAATAGCTGACGAACGGGGCAGAGGCACTTTGGGCTTATGAATTTATGCCACTCTCTCTGATGCTACCTGGGCTAGTGAGGATGAACAGTGCCCAGCCACGGGCTGCTCGGGGCTGGTGGCTGCTGCCCTGGAGCAGGGACACTGCCGGCAGCTCCCAGCACAACACCCCTTGGTCTGCCGGGGGGGGTAAGTTCAGAAAACACAGCCTGAGATGGAACAACAACAACAAAAATGTATATAAATAATTACCACATTCGGCTTTCCAACACTTCCTGGCACGTGAAGCCTCAGCAAACCCACCTCCCCGCCCTACAGCAGTATCTCGGGAATGGGGAAACTGAGGCACACCCCACCTGCATTGGCTTCTATGTTTTTGGGAAGTGGGTGAAAGAGCGTGACCGCGGGAGGATGAGCTGCCGCCGGCTAGGAAGAGATGCCGCCACGGTCGCCTCATACACCAAACGAGCCTGGGTCAGTAAACCAGGTCCTTACCAGCCCCAGCTCCCTGCTGCCGGGCATCGTCCCCCTCCCTTCCCCACTGCTTCCTCACAGGTGGCTTAGGGAGGGGAAGGGAGCTGGTTTACATAGAACCATATAATGGTTCGAGTCGGAAGGGACTTTAAAGCCCACCCAGTCCCATCCCCTGCCTTGGACAGGGACACCTCCTACCAGCCCAGGTTGCTCCAAGCCCCCTCCAACATGGCCTTGAACCCCTCCAGGGACAGGGCAGCCACAGCTTCTCTGGGCAACCTGGGCCAGGCTCTCACCACCCTCACACCAGAGAAGCTCTTCCCCAGATCTCAGCTCAGTCTCCCCTCTTTCAGTGTCAAACCCTTCCCTCTCCTCTTATGGCTCCCCTCCCTAATCAAGAGTCCCTCCTCAGCTTTCCCAGAGCCCCTTTAGGGACTGGAAGGGGCTCTAAGGAGCCTTCTCTTCTCCAGGCTGAACCCCCCCGACTCTCTCAGCCTGTCCTGACAGCAGAGGGGCTCCAGCCCTCCCAGCATCACCGGGGCCTCCTCTGTCCCTGCTCCAACAGCTCCATGTCCTTCCTGTGCTGAGGGCTCCAGAGCTAGACGCAGTTCTTCAGGTGGGGTCTCACCAGAGTGGAGTAGAGGGGTTTTATTTTGCAACACACCGTGGTTCTCCTTGCCACAAGCCCTGGTGCACCCTACAGCATCACCAGGCACACCTTGCCTCAGCCTCTGCCACCACCAGCATCAGCTCCTTGAAGCCCACAAGAACTCTGCTCTCTCAGCACCCCATCACCCTCCCGTCGCTCCCAGTTTGCACAACTCCCTTCCCCAGGGATTCAAGTCGGAGCGCGCCCATCTCCCTGCCGACTCAGCTCCCCACGCAGTGGGGACGCCAGGGCAGCCCGAGCAACCCCCAGCCAGCGACAAAAAACCCCCGCCGGGTCCAGGAGAACCTGCTGGTTCAAATCTGATTAACCAATGGGGATGATGCAAATGTGACCACGCGCCCCTTTGTGCGATGGGCCACAGCACAGGGAGGTGATGCCCCCCAAAACGAAGGAGGAAGAAGGAGATTCTTGGTGTCAACGGGCATTGCACAAGCCCCAGGCTCCCCCAGAGCAGCTCCCGGTAGCCTCCTCTGACCCATCATGGTCCTTCCTGGGAAGGCTGGGCTGGCCTCCCAGCTCCTGCTGACTAATGGTAGACCCAAGCAGCATTACTCACACCCGGCGTCACCCGTCCTCATGCCCAACACACACGTGTGCCATGACGGTGCGCCACCACTGCTCTTTAATCCAGAAATACCACCACCCCTTCCTACTTGGTTAAAAACCCCTTTGGAAATAGCACGGAAAAAGGGTGGCGGTTAATTAAAAGGTGCTGTTCCAGTTGACAGCTGCGTTTTCTGCTGCGGTTAAACTGGGGTTGGGGTCTGGGTTTCCCCTCCTTGCCTCAGAGCAACCCATGGCCACATGCTGGCGGTGGCTGCTGCGGGGAGGGAGGTGACACACGGCATCCCTTCTGGAGACGATGACACACGGAGAAGGCATCAGCCCTAATGAGAGGTGGCTTTCCTGGGGTCACAGCACACTTAATTGGGAGGCTGGGAGGGAAGAGGTTAATAACGGAGCCAGTATCAGACACTGGGATTTCCACATGACCCCAGACACCCATACTTCTGCACGAGGCAGTTTTGCTATTTCACAAATAAATGGTAAAAGACTTATCCTTGTCCATCCACGGGGATGCTGCAGCCTATTGCATGCAAGATGCCTCAGCTCAGGGTTGGGTGAGGGTGGGAGCAGGGCAGGGAGGGGACACCAGCACCACACAGGGACAAACCCAAGGCCATGGGGGTATTTTTGGCCATGGAGAGACTTGCTGTGGATCCCAGCTGCCTCCTGCAGGGGGAAGGGGCTAGGCACTGGGTATCAAGGCAGACGGGTCTGGCCTTCATCCCAAATCTCAGCGTGGACCTGCCAGCCTCCTTGAGCCATGACCTTTCTCTGCAGAGATGGGGCAGGGGGAGCGTTCCCACCCAAGCCTGGCCCTGAAGGTCTCTGCAGATGGGGCAAGAGGGGGCTGATCCAAACCGGAGGACAAACCTGCATCACATGCCCCATCTCCAGCTTCCCAGGCTCCGATGTCCCACCTGGAACAAGTCAGGAACGCGTGGCGACCACCACCAATATCTCCCAACCACCACCTACAAGGGCAGAAGCTACCAGGGACTTGCAATAGAGTCAAGCTGGGCTCAAAAAGTGCTTCAACTTCAGTGTTGACACCCAAAACCTACCCTTCCTACCAAAACACCTCATCGCAGTTGGTCGTTGATTAAATACAACTTGACGATACAGATGTCAATGTATATTATTCTCCTGAAGGCACAGGCACCTGCAGCGATTGCTGAGTTACCAGAGCCCCGTGAGAATCATAGAATCATAAGCGGTTAGAGTTGGAAGGGACTTTAAAGATCATCAAGTTCCAACCCCCCCTGCCCTGGGCAGGGACACCTCCCACCAGACCAGGTTGCTCCAAGCCCCCTCCAACCTGGCCTTGAACCCCTCCAGGGATGGGGCAGCCACAGCTTCTCTGGGCAACCTGGGCCAGTGCCTCAGGTCAGGGATGCATTTATGCACCTCTGGACAGGAGCCAGTCCTTCCAGAGCTACATTTGACCTGGAGAACAGAGCTGGCCCTAAAAACCACATACAATGAAAGTAAGAAAAATCAGGAGACCTCACACAAGGTCTCCTGCACCAAAATGCCATCTACTTCCAGGAAAACTTACTAAAACATTCCCCCCACACCTGTGGAAACCCTGTTCCCCATCCTCGTCTCTCACCAAATAAAACAAAACGAAGCGAGGAGATGTTTTGAAGCAGAGCTGATTTCTTTCTCCCCCTCCGGTTTCTCTTTTGAGGAAAAATTTTCTCCAAAAATGACACATTTTTGTCAAACATTTCACTGGTGACAAATTGTCGCTGTCAGTGATGAGAGTGCTCAGCTGGGAATTCGGGAGGCGCTTCGGGAAACCTCCATCTGCTTTTACAGAGTTAAAAATAAATAAATAAATAGAATTGACGGTGGGGGATGTTGCAAAATGTAACGTGTGAGGCGAAGGATTAATTAACACAGATCTGGCTCCAAAACCAGAGGTGGTAAGAGTGATTTTCATTCAGGAACTTGGCACTGCTTGGCACCTCTTCCTCCTCCAGCACCGACAGAGTATTTTAGCTCCTGAAAAATCACGTGTGTGTGGCCCAGAGTTTTTACAGTGATTACTTAAAGCCTCGGTGAGAGACAAATCCAAAATCGGGTTTTTTAATGTCTCTTCCCAGGCCATGCGCAGTGACTTTCCCCTTCTTCAAAATAGCATTGAAAAAGCTGTTTACAACGTAAAGAGGCAAAAAAGCAATGAGTTCCTGTGCTCCCCGTTGCAATCTCATTTAATACAGTTTCCTGAACTCATCACAGTTATTTCTGTTGTGTTTTTTATTTTCTTTTATCATGAGAATTAGGGTTGTTTCATGCCTAACAACTTCTGGCTTCCTTATGATATTCTGATTCAAATGGTAAAAGGCTGTAATGAGACTAAGCCAGCAGCCCGCAAAAAATAAATGATGTAGATCAGAATAGGGGGAATTTGGTTTAAGAAGAAAGAAAAAAATCAACAAAAACAAATAGAAATTATTCATCCCGATTAGCATTCAAACACAGTAAATGGGAAGGAAAAA